TTGTTTCTATCTGACATTGTGATACTGATATATACTGTAGATTTATTGTTAACACAGGAATTGTTTCTATCCGACATTGTGATGCAGATATATACTGTAGATTTACTGTTAACAAAGGACTTGTTTCTATCTGACATTGTGATACTGATATATACTGTAGATTTACTGTTAACACAGGACTTGTTTCTATCTGACATTGTGATGCTGATATATACTGTAGATTTACTGTTAACAAAGGACTTGTTTCTATCTGACATTGTGATACTGATATATACTGTAGATTTACTGTTAACACAGGACTTGTTTCTATCTGACATTGTGATACTGATATATACTGTAGATTTACTGATAACACAGGACTTGTTTCTATCTGACATTGTGATACTGATTTATACTTGTTTCTATCTGACATTGTGATGCAGATATATACTGTAGATTTACTGTTAACAAAGTACTTTTTTTCAATTATAGATGTTCAAGAAAACTCCAACAAATATTATACAGATGGATGTACTCAATATGCAGGTAAAATATTACCAATGTTGCTCCAATCTTTATTTCCAGTCTACATATTCTGTTTCAGTTTTCTACCTCCTTATCCAATAGTTCATGTTAGGGTCGTTAGTAGTAACTGTCAGATAAATGAAATAAACATGTTTGTTACTGGTATATATTTAATGTCGCCCTGGTAAATAATATACTAGCTACTTTCTACTGACTCGGCCAGGGGAATTTCTCTTTAGGTCATTTGGTAGAGCGTAAAACTAGTAAACCAGAGGTAATTTCAATACCTCATTAACGGGTAAATGTATTTGATTTTCCTTTGGATATGTTGTGCAGAATTACAAATAGAGAATTTTTCCCAGAAAACATTTTTGTGTAAAATGTCAACTTACGGTTTTCGGTAGGGGTCAAAATCCAAATGCACTATTGGGTAACAAACTTTAAAAATCTTCTTCTCAAGTTCCACAAGGTTGAGAGTCTTGATATTTCATATTTAAAATGTTGAGATGTTTGGGTATCAGGTTTAGAAAAATGGTTGACCTTGATCAACTATCAAAGTCACAAAGGTCAAATGTTTAAAAAAAAAAAAAAAATCTCATCAAGAATATTTCGAAAATTATTCGTAAGATTCACTTTATATTCAGGTATGATGTGGACAACACAAATGCGCACATTTTTGGCAGAAAACATTTTGAGTTGACCAGGTCAAGTTTTGAGTTATTCAGGGGTCAAACTTCATATGTGCTATTTCAAGATAATGACTTCAAAAAACTTCTTCTAAAGTTCTACAAGGCCTAGAGTCCTACTATTTGATACATAACATGGTCAGGTAATTGACTATCAAGTTTGAAAAAATGATTGACCTTGAATGACTTTCAAGGTCACAGAGGTCATATATGAAAAAATATTTAAACCACTTTTTCTGAATAACCAATAATTTCAGGGTGACGATGTTTGGCAAGAAGCATGCTTGAATTAAGGGCTTTAAAGTGTGTGCAAATGAACGACCTTGACCTACTCTAAATAGAATTTCAAAAGTGAAAGTCAAAAACCGTTTCATTTTTGTGCGATTGTGATGTGTTCTCAGTACTCTCAGTACTTTGATTTATATCAAGACATCTAATACACGCTGGTAATACTACATAGATTACTACGCACTCTCAATCATAAAAGTAGGGAGAGTTTACATCTCTCCTGTGGAGGGTAAACATCAGCCTTTCTTTTGCATGGCAAACCCAACCGAAATAGACAAAAAGCTATTTCAATTCATCATCCTGACGTACATAGTGGACGGACTAAATGACGACTTTTACGGACTACATTCATATACAACTAAGCCCATTGACTGCTTATATTTATCCGTTCTTTCTCTGACATCATTTCGCACTCCGGGAATCCCCCACTACTCAGTCAGCTACTGGGGACTTGCACAAGTAATTATTAGAAGACCAAATCAGTCCTTGCAGTGAAAAGCCCGTCAAATTGTTAGCCAACAATTTCTAATTCTTATTCTTATTCTTCTTCCGTTTTTATGGAGTCTGTATCTTTTGAATGGTAGAATAAGTCTTTTAGGTAGGTTGTAGACCAAGGTCTGAAGATGTTACAGGAACATTTTCAAGTAGGTAAAAAATCCAATATGGCCGCCATGACGTCATACCTCAAAATCTTAAAATGGCCATTACTCAAAAACAGTTTAATTAACAGAAGTGACGCAATTATATTATATGTAGATAATCATCAGGGCTAACTTTTTGTCAGTCCTTTATTTCAAAAAAAGGTCAAATAAAAAAGCTCTGTTGGGTCAATGGTCACAATTTTTTTAATTTTTTAATTTTTAATCATTTTGGAAAAAATCTTTTACAGATCAATGCAGAATGTCATTCCAATGAATTTGATGTCTTTAGTTTTTCTGTAACATTTATCGTTAATGTTGTACGCCATTTTGAAATTTTTCCTTTGATCTTTTAAAAATATTGCAATATGTTAAAACCTGTTTTACTCCCATATCAATGACAAATGTTTCGTTTATTTGTTATGGAAAAGATTTCCCCAGAAGTCTTCTAACATTTGATAACATTTTCAACTTCATAAAAAAAAAATGGCTGCCATGACGTCATATCCGTTTTTTTGTCTTATTGCAATACCTCATTAATGGATGAATGTATTTAATTCATCTTTTGAGATGTTTTGTAGAATAGCAAATAAGTAACTTTTTTCAGGGAAAAAAATTCAGTCAAACATCAACTTCTGGTATTTGGCAGGGGTCAAAGTTTGAGCTTGTAATTTTGTGAAACAAATTTCAAAAAACTTCTTCTCAATAACCAAGTGACCCGAGGTCATGATATTTGTTTTCTCAATAACCAAGTGACCCGAGGTCATGATATTTGTTGATTATCATGCTCATATGAATGACCTTGACCCATGTTTCATGGTCACTGGGGTCACTGGGGTCGATTATGTTAAAATCTTCAAAAGACTCCTTGTCAATAACAGAAATGCCCAGGGTATTGATATTTGGTCTGTAGCATGCTAGGATGATGGGCTACAAGGTTTATTGACATAAATGACCATTAAAGATCAACTTCCGGTATTCGATGGAGGTCAAATTTGAACATGTAATTTTACCAGATACCAGGACTTTTACTACTGGTGTAAGGGAAGTAACTGGAGGCTAAATCAGTCCTTACAGTGAAAAGTCCGTCGAATTGTAGCCAACAATTTCTAGTTGATTAGGTTGTTTTTGTCTCGCCGCCACGAAGTGGAAGCGAGACTTAGGTGTTGCTTTGCCGGCAACGGCGGCGTCAACATTAAGTTTTTGTGTTTAAGTTAGTTTCTCTTAACTAAGTGCTAACACCAACCAAACTTGGACCATAGATACATCTTAAGTAATACATCTCAACCCAGGCATCAAATGTTGGATGCAGCATACATGTACCTTTCATGGTTCATTGACTTTGTCAGCATTTACATCAATATAAATTTTTTGCGTTTAACTTAGTTTCCTGGTATGACTGATGGTTCAAAGCGGGGCATAGGCGAGACATATCAATCCGAATGGCTTGTTTATACTAAATCTTTGAGTAATCCATCACTTTCTGATTAGATTGTTTTTTCGTTGTAGAATTTTGACGTTAGTGGATTACAGTTGGCACTGGCAGAACGACAGTCTGAGATGCCGGCCCAGAGTAAATCAGCGATGCCCTGTGTGGTACCTGACCCTGACAATAAACCAACCAGGTCAATCTTCTCTCAGTAAGATACAATAGCTAATATTATTCACCTGATTTACCATGGCTTACCGTCTGTATGTCACAATTCAGTACTATTTTTAGTGGACACAAAGTATTAGCATATTATAGAATTTTAACAGATTAGTGCATTGATGGAATGACACACAAATCTTCAATAGAAAACTATATACAGAAACTTTAAACAGCACAATCTTAAATTAACATGATATTTGATGTGTATGTTTACAGTATATATTATGACTATTTTGGCTAAAACATGTTTCAAAATCACTACTCAAAAGGACATGCTTAAATATGTCTATACCAATATTTTGTTATAATAATTCACTGCATGATGACTGAGAAAATAGTGAAATTAAATCATGTACAAAAAACACCAGCCATAATATACTGTAATTATTAGCGGTTCTTCATTCAAACAGATATATTTACATTTTCTGTGCATCATTCCATTGCAATACATTGAGAAGGCAAATATTGTTGTGATAATATAACAACATTTGCTATTGTAATTTCATCAATTTCATTGGTGTCAAGACTTAATTTCTTGTTCAAAGAACTGTTTGTAAATAACTAAAGAAAGCGTAACTACTCTATCAAAATGTAGAAATAATAATAGATATTTTAGCAGATATTGTTATGGTCCTATAACACACATTTCTATTGTTGACAAACTTACATAAAGTTCTGCCGATCTTTATGTAGGTTTGTCAGCAATAGAAATGTGTGTTATAGGACCATAACAACATTAACTAAAACGTTCATTGCTTAAATATCAGTTTTGACCAGTGTATTAATCTGATCGTTGTCGTTGGTTACAGTTTTGACCAGTGTATTAAGTCTGATTGTTGTCGTTAGTTACAGTTTTGACCAGTGTATTAATCTGATCGTTGTCGTTGGTTACAGTTTTGACCAGTGTATTAAGTCTGATCGTTGTTGTTGGTTACAGTTTTGACCAGTGTATTAATCTGATCGTTGTCGTTGGTTACAGTTTTGACCAGTGTATTAA